GAGCTGAATTGTCCTCTTTCTTTTCTTTCTTTCTTTCTTTCTTTCGGGTGCCCCCCCCCCCACTAGCTTGTTGCAAGGGACGAATTTCCTGGGCGTGCAGTGCTTCAAGGCTGTGTTTGCTCTTGTTAACGTGTGAGGCTGCCCCCCTCCCCGTCAGCCCCCATCACCCTCTTTTATTTGCTCTTTTAACCCCTGCTCTTCCTCATACTTGGATTTAACGTGTGTGCTTCTGATCGAAGCTATATCCCTAGCGCCTCACCAGGTAACAGTAACAGCAAAGGTTAGCTCTGGTTGAAGGCTTGCTTAGCACAGCTGGGCGCTGTTCTCAGCATCTTTGTTTCCCTTACATCTTGAATTCTTACTGCTACTCTTGGGTATGGCTTCTCTCCGCATTTTACAGCCCGGGAAGGGAGATTTCGTGTGTAAAAGGTTCTATACCTTGTCCTGGGACGACTAGCTGGGAGAGGGCAGGGCTGGGATTTGCTCCAGGGCCCTTTGCTCTGAGTAAATATTTGTTCGGTGGACCGGTGGTTCTCCACCGGGGTCAACTGTGCCTGCCCCCCTCCCACCTCGAGGCACTCTCTGGAGACATTTTTGATTGTCACAGTTGGGGAGATACTGCTGGCATACTGTGGAAGGAGGCCAGGGATGCTGCTAAAACACTGTAGGTTGCATAGGATGTCTGCCACACAGAATTGTCCAGCGCTAAATGTCACTAGTGCAGGGGTGGGAAGCCCAGGCGTGGGTCAGCAGGTCTTCACTGAACGCTTACTCTGTGTGGGATGGGGGCTTCTTCTAATTCATGCTCCTAGCAACCCCTGTGGGGAAGGAGTTACTCTTAGATCTGTACTACAGGTGGGGAATTTAAGTCCAGAGAGGGCCCAAGGGTCACACCACCGATAAATGGCTGAATTAAAAGCGGAAGCCGGGCAGGCAAGCTCCAGAAGCTGTGTCTCTTTGTTTTTTCCATTTTTTTTTTTTGCGTTTTTTAAAACTTATTGCAGTTTAGTTGATTTACAATGTTGTGTTAATTTCTGCTGTACAGCAAAGCGATTCAGTTATACACATATATACATTCTTTTTTGTTTTCCATTCTGGTTTATCACAGGATATTGAATATAGTCCCTGTGCTCTACAGTAGGACCTTGTTGTTTATCCATCCTATAGATAATAGTGTGCAACTGCTAATCCCAAACTCCCACTCCATCCCTCCCCCAGTCCCTTGGCAACCACCAGTCTGTTCTTCCAGAGCCCTGCCTCTTAACCATTAAGTTAATGCAGCAGGCGTGGGCTCTGGATTCGAATCCTGCCTCTCTGTCACTCTCTGCATGTCCATTTCTCTCCTTCTTTACAGTGGGGCTCATCTCCCCAAGTCGCAGGGCTGTTGGGAGGGACAGGTGGGGCAGAGTAAGACACGGGCCTCGTGGTGGTCTCCTGAGGCCTCCAGGGTGCCTGGTGGGGCTGGATGATGCTACCGGGACACACACAGGCGTGTTACAGTTGCTTTTATGGAGGCAGCACAGAGCACTGTGGCAGCTGCTGGAGCCACTGGCCCTCACTGAATAAGAGGAGTTGCTTTCCACAGCAGAGGGACCTTTTGTGTGTGTGGACGTATTTTGCTTTGTTTCTTCTTCTTTTTTGTCAAGCTATAATTGACATATATTCGTTTCAAGTATACAACATAACGGTTTGATATTTGTATATATTGCAAAACGATGACCACAATAAGTCTAGTTAATATCCATCGCCATACAGAGTTATAGAATATTTTTTTCCATGATGAGAACTTTTTTTTTTTTTTTTTTTTGCGGTACACGGGCCTCTCACTGTTGTGGCCTCTCCCGTTGCAGAGCACAGGCTCCAGACGCGCATACTCGGCGGCCATGGCTCACGGGCCCAGCCGATCCACGGCATGTGGGATCTTCCCGGACCGGGGCACGAACCTGTGTCCCCTGCATCGGCAGGCGGACTCTCAACCACTGCGCCACCAGGGAAGCCCGATGATGAGAACTTTTAAGAGCTGTTCTCTCAGCAACTTTCTTTTTTTTTTAAGATACATATTTTTTAATGCTTTTTTTAAAAAAAATTTATTTATTTTTGGCTGTGTTGGGTCTTCGTTGGCACGCGCGGCCTTTCTGTAGTTGCGGCGAGCAGGGGCTGCTTTTCATTGAGGTGTGTGGGCTTCTCATTGTGGTGGCTTCTCTTGTTGCAGAACATGGGCTCTAGGCGCGTGGGCTTCAATAGTTGCGGCACGCGGGCTCAGTAGTTGTGGCTTACAGGCTTAATTGCTCCGCGGCATGTGGGATCTTCCCGGGCCAGGGCTCGAACCCGTGTCCCCTGCATTGGTAGGCAGATTCTTAACCACTGCGCCACCAGGGAAGCCCAACTTTCAAATATACAACAGAGTATTATTAACTATAGTGGCCAAGTGGTGCTTTACATCCCCAGGAATTAGTTCTTTTGTAACTGGGAGTTTGTAAGTTTTGATTCTTTTCACCCATCTTGCCTACCAGCGCCCCCACCCCTGCTTCTGGGAACCACCAATCTGTTCAGTGTATCTATGAGTTTGCTTTATTTTTGTTTTTTTTTGGATTGAACATGTAAGGGAAATTATACATTTGCCTTTCTCTATCTGATTTATTTTGTCTTAGCATAATACCCTCGAGGTCCATCCATGTTTTCACAAATAGTAGGATTTCGTTCTTTTTTATGGCTGAATAATATTCCATTATATTTATTTATATATGTATTTATATTTGTATATTCCACTTTATATATATATATACACACACACATATATATATATTTTGCATCTTCTCCGTCCATTTATCCATCAACGACACTTAGGTTGCTTCCATGTCTTGGCGGTTATTGTAAATAATGCTGCTATGAACGTCGGGGTGCATGTGTTTTTTCAAATTAGTATTTTTGTTTTCTTTGAATACATACCCAGAAGTAGAATTGCTGGATCAAACGGTAGTTCTATTTTTTTTTTAAACCTCTTTTTTTTTAAAATTAATTACTTATTCTTTTTCTTTTTTTTGGCTTGTGTCGGGTCTTTGTTGCTGCGCGCGGGCTTTCTCTAGTTGCAGCGAGCGGGGGCTACTCTCTGTTGCGGTGCATGGGCTTCTCATTGCGGTGGCTTCTCGTGTTGCAGAGCACGGGCTCTAGGCGCATGGGCTTCAGTAGTTGTGGCACACGGGCTTGGTAGCTGTGGCTCGTGGGCTCTAGAGTGCAGGCTCTGTAGTTGTGGCACACAGGCTTAGTTGCTCTGTGGCACATGGGATCTTCCCGGACCAGAGATCGAACCCGTGTCCCCTGCATTGGCAGGCGGATTCTTAACCACTGCGCCACCAGGGAAGTCCCCAGTAGTTCTATTTTTAATTTTTTGAGGAACCTCCATAGTGGCTGCATGGAGTGACCTTATTTATCAGTCAGTATGTGCTTTCTCAGGAGCAGCCTCTGAGCTTGGTGACCCTGGGACCCAGGGAAGAGTCCGTCTGGCCCTGCCTCAGGGGCTAACCTTGGACAGCCGAGCGTGGGTCCCTGAGGTCACAAGGCCCTTCAGCGTGATTCCCAGGGCCTCACTCACTCAGGTGAGACTCCAGTCCTGTCCCGGAGGGATCTTTCTCACAACAGAGCAGGCTTCTCTGCCTCTTTTGAGACTCGGCTCTGGCCCAGGTCTTCTGGGAACTCTTTCCTGCCGCTGCTGGGCTAGTCAGTTCTTAAAGGGAAGGATGGGTGGGTGGAGGGTGATGCTGTGACCAGCTCCAGGGCCAGACAGACGCCAGTGTGAGTTCAGCCCCTGCCACTTATTAGCTGGGTGATTTTGGGCAAGGCCTTCACGTTCTCCATCTGCAAAATGGGGGCAATAATGCTGATCACACAGGACCGGTCATCCTATAAATTTTCTTTCAGTGCCAACCAGCATGCTGGGCTCTGTATATGTGGCCTCTTGCCCTTGCAACGCTTAAATTCTAGCAAGGGAAATCAGCGCCCAGATATGGTAAGACCAGATCTTATTAAACGCTGAGATGAAATTAATACGGTGACATGACAGTAACTGCAGGGAAGGGTGTGTAGGTGATTCAGGGAGGCTGTCCAAGGAGGGAAGGATGGCACCTGGGCCTCAGAGGTGAGAAGGAGCCAGCGGAGCAAAGATGGAGGTAGAGAATGGCAGTACCAAGGCCCTGAGGTTGGGCCAGCCTCGAGTCTTAGAAGATCATCAGTGTGTGGCAGACAGGCATGGCTGTGCGCCAGTAAAACTTGACTTAAACAGGCTGCAGGGACTTCCCTGGTGGTCCAGTGATTAGGACTCTGCCCTTCCAATGCAGGGGGTGCAGGTTAGATCCCTGGTCGGGGAACTAAGATCCCACATACCACACAGTGTGGGAAAAAACAAACAAACAAACAAGAAAACACAAAGCAAAACCCAGGCTGCAGGCCAGTGGCTCCTGAAGGTTTTAAACTCAGGACCCCTTTATACTTTAAAATTTTTTTGAAGACCCCCCCCAAAGCACTTTTGCTTACAGGAATTACATTTATTGTTATGTATCATGTTAGAAACTAAAGCTGAGAAAATTTCAAAATATTAATGCATTTAGAAATTGCAGTAATCAACTTTCCATATGTTAAGATTTAAATTACACTTTTTTTTCTTAATTTTTTTTTATTTGTGTGTAGTTGATTTACAATGTTGTGTTAGTTTCAGGTGTACAGCAAGGTGAGTCCATTATACATACATATATAGCCACTCTTTTTCAGATTCTAGTCCCATACAGGTCATTACAGAGTATTGAGTAGAGTTCCCTGTGCTATACAGTAGGTTCTTATTAGTTATATATTCTATATATAGTAGTGTGTATATGTCAGTCCCAATCTCCCGATTTATCCCCCCCCCGGCAAATGACACTTTATTTATTTTTTAAAAATAACACTTTTTAAATGAAAAATAACCATGTTTCCCCAAATGAAAAGCTGGAAACATGGCATCATTGTTTTGCACATCTCAGTGTCTAACTTGAACAGCTGGGTTCTCCCATCTGCCTCTGCTCGCAGCCTGTGGCCTCTGGAAGGCCCCAGCATACACTCAGGAGAGAATGACAGTGAAAGAGGCTGGGAACCTGTGTTAGGAAAATAGTTCTGACCTCGAGGTACCCCCTGGAAGGATCTTGGGGATCCCAGGGGTCCCCAGGCCATTCGAGGACCACAGTTCTAGGCCGGGGTTTCTTAGGGGCTGGGTCTTTCTCTGCTGGGGGGCCGTCCTGTGCACTGTAGGGTCCTTAGCAGCATCCCCAGCCTCCACCCACCGGATGCCAGCAGCACCCCCACCCCCATCCAACAAGACCTTTCTAGATGCCTCCCCGGGGTAACGTCACCCCTGGTCGAGAGCCACTGCTTTGTGTCACCCCACGACTGAAGCCACTGCACGTCTGTTTCCTCCTTCAGGAAGGGGAGGAGGAAGTGGAGGGCACACAGCTTCCTGGGGGCGCCGGGGCGCAGGTCTTACAAAAGGAGAATGGGGAGAACGGATAAGGGGGGCCCCTTGCAGTCTCTCGCGTTTCCCTGTACGCAGACGTGATTGGGGGCCCCTGAGCGTCGTGGCCTGCTGGGCGGCCGTGACAACACCACCGGCCGGGCAGCTTCAACAACAGACATTTATTCCTCGCAGTTGTGGAGGTTGGGCGTCCGGGATCAGGTGCAGCCAGACTCGGTGTCTGGTGAGGGCCTCTTCCCGGCTTGCAGACGGCTGCTTCCTGCTGTGTCCTCACGCTCAGGGGAGACAGATCTCTTCCTACGAAGACGTTAGTCCTGTGGGAGCCCGGTCTGATAACCTCATTTAGTCTTAATTTCCTCCTAAAAGCCCCATCTCTAAATACATTTGGGGTTAGAGCTTCCACATATGAACCTGGTGAGGGGTACGGACGGACATAGTTCTGTGCACACTGGCTAGTAAGGAAGAGATTGGGGGGGCTTTGGAGCAAGCATCCTAGGGTGTCTGCCTCGGGGATGTGGGTTGGGACGTAACCAGGCATCGATGGTGGTGATGACAACTCACATTTTCTCGAGCATGTGCTACGTTCCGGGATCCCTTCTAAGATCTCGGTGCGCGCGGAGGCTGCGGGGGTAGAGGGAGGACAGGGAGGCCACACGAGGCCGGCGAGCGCTGCGCCGCCGCCGCTCCTGGGTGGGCCTGGGCGGCGCGCACGCATGCATGCATAGAGCGTGGTTTTCGACCCCATGCCCACGGCAGAGGCAGGGGCTTCCGGGGGATGGTCGGAGTTGGGTTCTCACCACTGCCTTTACCCCCCGACAGGTGCTGCCGTCCCGCTGGCCCCATGGAGGCCCCGGCCGCCCAGCCTGTGAAGCAGGAGTGCCGGGCCGCCGAGGGCCTGACCCTGGACTCACCGTGGCACCGCTTCCGCCACTTCCACCTGGGCGACGCCCCGGGCCCCCGCGAGGCGCTGGGCCTGCTGCGCGCCTTGTGCCGGGACTGGCTGCGGCCCGAGGTGCACACCAAGGAGCAGATGCTGGAGCTACTGGTGCTGGAGCAGTTCCTGAGCGCCCTACCTGCTGACCTCCAGGCCTGGGTGTGCAGCCGGCGGCCCCAGAGCGGGGAGGAGGCCGTGGCCCTGCTGGAGGAGCTCTGGGTGAGCGGAGGCGGCTGGCGGGAGGGGCCTGCACCGCCGCGTCCCCCCACCCCGGGCCTGCCGTCTGCCTTCCCCAGGGCCGGGGGTCCTCAGCTCCACACTGAGACAAACACAACAGGCTCCGTGGGACCCTGAGGTCCAGGGTGTGGTCGAGTCGGGTGGGAAAGTCAGGCCAGCGAGGATGTTTAGAGGGACTGTACGCAAGCCCACCCTCCTGATGCTCAGTGCAAGTTCAGGGTCCCCGGGACCACCCTCAGGTCTCACAGCTCAGTGGAAGGACTCAGAGCTCCATCCTGCACACAGCTGTGGCTGGTCACAGCGGAAGGACACAGATTAAATCAGCCGAGGAGGGGGCAGCAGGGCAGGATCCAGGAGGGTTCCTCCCAGGGGATTCGTGGGCGGTGCCAACTCCTGGCGACAACGTGTGCAAGACACAGGGAGCATCACCAACCAGGGTGCTCCCCGCACCTCCGCGCCTGGAGGTGTTGGGGCTCCAGCCCCCGTGAAAGGCTGCGTGGATACCGTGTGGCCCAGAGCCTTCACATGAATTACGCTGTTGGAGAGTCCAACACGGCCCAAGGCCCCTGGCAGGCAGGATGTGCTGAGTGAGGGCTCAGCGGTTCCCCTCCCAGCAGGTGAGGGCAAAGGCCAGACCTCTCTCTGGGTAAGGTCAGCCCTTGGCTGCACCCCAGGGGTCAGCGGACTGCAGCCTGAGGGCCATATCTGCCAGCCTCTGGGGCTGTGGTGTTACACAGCCTCACGGGGCCACGGCCTCACCATCCACTCGTGTGTCGCCTGTGGCCTCTTTCTCCCCGGGGCAGAGCTGAGCAGTCGCGACAGGGACCAGAGGGCCTGAAGAGCCGAAAACCTTTGCCCCCTGGCCCTTTCAGGGAAAAGCCTGGGCACTGGGCAGGTACCAGGTGATTCGCGTGTGCAGAGTTCGGGGGTCCCAGGACCATCCCCGGGTTCAGTCGTTCATGGGAAGTACTCAGAGCTCGAGGAAAGCTGCTGTTCATCACAGTGAAAGGACACAGATTAAAATCGGCCGAGGGAGCAGGCGGATGGGGCAGGGAGACCCTCACGGAGCTTCCTCACCCCGGGTCACGTGGACAGCATGAGTATTGCCAACCAGGGGGCCTCCCCAGCCTCTGTAGACATGGCTTCCCAGTCGGGGAGGCTGACCTCAATCGCAGGTCCGTCTGAAGGTGAAGCCGATACAGCAGGGCCAGACCTCCCCCAGATGGCACTATCAGCGTGGCCTGCCTGTCCCCACGCAGTCCCGAGGGGTGGGCACTGGAGGCTGTCATCCTCTCCATTTCAGAGGTGAAGGTATGAGGCTCAGAGAAGTCGGGTGACTTGCCCAAGGTCACACAGCCAGTTGGGGGGGTGAGAGGGACAGAACCCATGTGCTGTGGCCCGAGATCCCTGCCTCTGTCCCCTGCTGGGTGCCAACACCTGGCCCAGCATCTTCCTGGGGATGGGGCTCAGCCTTGGCACAGTCCAGCGTCCTGTGCCTGTGACCCGGAACCAGAGAGCCCGCAGGACACCTGCAGGCCCGCCCCCCCCGCCCAGCAGTATAAAGTTCCCAGGCTTGTGTGCCTGGGAATCGCAGGGTGGCCGGGCAGTGCAGCTTCCCAGGCTCCACTCCGGGGCGAGCCGGCCCGCGTCCTGCTCCCACCCTGCCTGCACACCGGCAGGCGTCACCTGGGGTTACCAGGCCCCACTGAGGCCAGGGAGCTGGGAGCTCGGCGTCCACCAGTCTGAGCGGGGGCTCCTGGTGAGACCATGTGCTGCCCACCTCCCCCCACAACTGACCCCCGCGTGGGAAGTAACTCGCTTGGGCCCCCCCAAGCAGGTCTGTGGCTGGAGGCGCCCAGGACCCAGGTGGCCCCGTGCCAGCCCCGCCCCACACCTCGGCACGCCCTTGTCTTGACCCTCTTCCAGGAGCATGTCCTGAGCCATTGGAGCAAAGGCAGGTGGTTGGACACCTCCATCCCTCTGTCCGTGCACTTGCTCAGTGTCCATTGAGGGCTGCGGTGAGAGGCTCCGGGGGTCGGGACCCTCTGAGGTGGTGGGGATGTAAAATGGTGCAGCCGCGGTTGGGGGCAGTCTGGCAGTTCCTCGGGTTGAACGTGGAGCGGCTACGTGGGCCAGCAGCCCCACTCCTGTGTGTGAACCCAGAGAAGTGAAAACTTATCCACACGTAACCTCGCATGCGATACGACCTGAGTGGTAGCAAGACAGCATCACTCGTAACAGCCAAAAAGTGAAAACAACCCTCACATCCACCGGCTGGTGAGTGGATCAACAGAACGCGGCCTGTCCACGAAGCAGGACACCACTCAGCCATAGAGGAGTGAAGCCCTGATGGGCTACACCGTGGGCGAACATCAGAAACACGAGGAAAACATGAAAGAAGCCGGTCACAAGGACTTTCCGTTGCATGATTCCGTTGCCGTGAGATTCGCAGAAGAGGCAGGTCCATAGAGGCAGGGAGCAGATTAGCGGTTCCCGGAGGCTGGCGGGGAGGAAATGGGGAGTGACTGCTGACAGGGGCGGGGTACGGGGGCTGGGGGTGATAAAAATATTCTCGAATCCATTGTGGTAATGGTTGCACAACGGAATGTACCAAAAACCGGGGAATTGCAATTTAAGTGGGTGAATTCTCTGGCATATGAGTCATGTCGCGATAAAGCTGCTATTTATAAAAAGATTGGTGCCAGGGTCGGCAGAGAAGTGGGACAGGCCAGTCCCCGCCCTCCTGGAGCGTGCGAGCCAGGCAGCTCCACTGGGAGGCCGACCAGGCCTTTTGCGGGGAAAATGACCATACCAACTCTTCCTGACATCTGAAGAGGAAGGAACGTCCCAGCTCATTTTACAGGGCCAGCGTTTTCCTGGTACCAAAACCAAGGAAAGACAACTGTAGGCCCTCTTCCTTAATCTCAAAATAATGATGCTGAGTGAAAGAAACTAGACCCTCCCCCCCAAAGAAGTACCGATTTACTGTATGGCTCTATGAACATGAAGCCCTAGAAGACAGAGACCACTGTATCGTGCCGGGAAGCCCATCAGTGGCTGCCCTGCTGGAGGGAAGGGGGGAGGTTCCGGATGTGCACAGGGAAGCTTGCGGGGCCACGTGTGCGTTCTGGGGCTTCGTGAGCACATACGCACGTGGAACTCCTCGGGTCGTGTGCCGTGAACCATGTGCATTCACTGTGCGCGTGTCACGCTTCGATGAAGCTGCTGGGAGTGCAGTGTGGAGGGCGCCAGGATGGGGGCGCCCTTGAGCCTGCGGGAGGTGGCAGAGCCGGCGCTTGGCCAGGGCCTGCAGGGTGTGTAGGAGGGCAGGCCGGGCACGGGTGGGAAGGGGGCTCCAGGCAGAGGGAAGAGCGAGTGCAGAAGCGTGGGGCTCTGAGCGCCTGGCACACCCAGGACACCATTGGCCCTTTGCTGTTGCCTGGGCTTGGAGGTCCAGGCGGGGCCCCGGGCAAAGGTAGGAGCTGAGCGCGTGGCAGTGACCAGGCCACAGCAGACGCGAGTGACGTGGCAGCACCTGCGGTGCCGTAACGCCCTGAGCCGTACTAGTGTGCTGCAGTAGCAAGGTGACCGTGTGGATTCTCCCGCCACCACCAGCCAAGGTGGGCACTTAGGGATCCCTGACGACGAGCTTTCCTAAAAGGCCCTGGAAGCTTCCTGCCGTCTGCTCGCCAGCTGGCAGAATTGTCGGCATCGCTGGTCTGCAGCCTAACAGCTGCTTGGGTCCAAAAGCACTGAAACAAGTGAAATGTGAGAAGGGGGGTTGTGTGCCTATAACCCCTGACAGCTCTTCGTCATCACCACCAGGAGAATTCTGGTCTTTTCCTGGAGGCACGGGCTCGAGGAACAGTGAGAAAGGGTATAAAGGAACCAGAGTAGTGTGAAGCTTCTTTTTAAACCACTGGTCTTCTGGCTGGTGCCATGCTGCTTGGAGCTGTCCACCGGTTGAGCTGGGAAAAGTTCCGTTCTCAACTTCCTTTACTTTTTGCTGAGTTAAAAGTAGCTTCTCTGTTTTCCTTCTGCATTTTGTCGAGGAGTTTGCAAAAGGCATTAAAAAGCTAAAATAAGATTCAAAGCAGGTGCATCAGTTATCTGCTGTGGAACAAATCGCACCAAACTTAGTGGCTCAGAACAGTAAACATTTGTCATCTCAGGCAGCTTCTGTGGGTCAGGAGTTTGGGGCAATGCTGGCTGAAGGTCTCTCACGAGGTTGCATTTAAGACCGGCTGGGGCTGTCCTCACCTGGAAGCTGGCCCAGGGCTGGAGGATCTGATTCTGAGGCGGCTCCCTCACGCGGTGGTCAGCTGGAGGCCTCCGTCCTCACCACATGGACCTCTCCGTGGGGTGGCCAAGCATCCTCCAGCTTGGCAGCCGGCTTCCCCCAGAGCGAGCGGTAGGACTGAGAGGGAGAGAAGTAGAGGCTGTGGCTCAGGTTGCTCAGTTGGGGTTGTGGTATCTCTGGTTTCAGGGACCAGCAATGAGGGCACCTCGGGATGCGGCAGAAGGCTCCGGGGTCGGCGTGGGAAAGGAAGACGGTGGGGTAACGCCCTCAGGTGAGCAGCTCACTCCTTCCCCACAGCGCTCCCAGCCCCGGGGGACCCTCTCCTGTCCGTCCTTTATTTGTCCAGTGAACATCCCTGCTGTGAGCCAGGCCCCATGCTGGCACCAGGACGGGAGCTGAATCAGACACGCCCTGCTCTGGAGGGCACGTCTAGTGGGGGGTCAGACAGGACAGCGAGCGCCCATGATGCGCCAGGCGTGGTCCCACCAGCTCGCCGAAATCCCGCGCCCGCCCTTGAGGTCCCCGGCATCAGCCACCTTTCATAGCTGCAGGAACCCAGGCACAGAGAAGTGAGATAACCCACCCAGGTTCGGGTGCCGGCCAAGCCAGGCTTGCACCCCGGCAGCCTGGCCCCAGAGCCTTTGAGCCCCAGTTCTTCGCGGGGCGAGACCTCCTGCAGTCATGCTTCTCCTGACCCAGGCACTGTGCAGGACTCTCTCATTGCCCAGCCTGGCGCCGATGCCCGGGCCGGGAGCTGGGGAAGGTGCTGGCTCCACCCCGACCACAGGCATTAGGGTGAGGAAGGGAGAATCAGATTGAATCTCGTCAAAGCGGGGAACAGACCCGGGAGGCAAAACCTGAGGATGCCCACCAGAGGCAGAAAGGTGACTCTGGTAGCCGGCCTGGACTCAGGCGCCTCGAGACCCGGTGGGGGAGGGTGGCGTTCACCTTGTGCCAGGGCTGTGGCTGGAGAGGACGGAGGAGCTGGGGATCATGTCTGAGGCCACGTGTAGAGGTGTCAGGATGGGGGCCCTTCTGATGACATCATCAGGACCTGTAGAGCCCGGGTCGGCGGGGGGGGGGGGCGGTTGCCTGTGGACCTCCAGAGGGGCGTGGGTCGGAGAGGGAGCAGCGCTGGGACGGTGACTGGGAACCCGAGGCAGTGCCCTCTTATGCCCCTCAACGGGGACCACAGCGGGGGTGGAATGAGACGGCACACCAACGTGCTCGGCACCGTGCCCGGCACAGAGGGAGAGACTAACAGGTTTTTATCACACCCGTCCTAGTGTGACACTTAAAGGTTGCTTATCTCCTTGGAATTACATAGAGCAGTTTGGAAACCTGAAGAAAGGAAATGTGTGGTTCATCCACCCACCCGACTTATCCATCCCCACTTACCCACCCGTGCACCCATGCATCCATCCATCACCCAATCCATCCACTCCAACATCCGTCTACACACTCCCATTTACCACTTACCTACCTATCGATTTCCTCCTCCCATCCATCCACCCATCCATTCGTTTATTGGGCACTTACTCTGCACCAGGCCCTGTGCGGTACGGGGACCCAGGGATGAATCAGAAGCTGGCGGACAACGCTCTTCCCTCCCGGAGGGCTCCCTGGCGTTAAGCGTTCCCCCCCTGCCCCGGGACCACCCCTCTAGCCAGGACACGGGCGGCCCTTGCGGCCTTCCCTTGCCCGGCTGTGCCCTGCGCCCGCCCTGACTGCACCTTTGCCTGCAGGAGACGCGGCCCCCGGGGCTGAGGAACTGGCGACGGGGGACGCCCAGGCCGCGCGCCCTTACAAGCAGGAGCCGGGCAGCCCTCAGCCAGCGCCACCGCCCCCACCGGCGCCCGGCCTGCCCGCCTTCCTGGCGGCCCCGGGCTCTGCGTCCTGCCCCGAGTGCGGCAAGGCCTCGCTGAAGCCGGCGCACCTGCTGCGCCATCGGCAGAGCCACTCGGGCGAGAAGCCGCACGCCTGCCCCGAGTGCGGCAAGGCCTTCCGGCGCAAGGAGCACCTGCGGCGCCACCGCGGCACGCACCCCGGCGGCCCGGGTCCGGCCCTGCGCCCGCTGCCTGCGCGCGAGAAGCCACACGCCTGCTGCGAGTGCGGCAAGACCTTCTACTGGCGCGAGCACCTGGTGCGCCACCGCAAGACGCACTCGGGCGCGCGGCCGTTCGCTTGCTGGGAGTGCGGCAAGGGCTTCGGGCGCCGCGAGCACGTGCTGCGCCACCAGCGCATCCACGGGCGCGCGGCAGGCGCGGGCGGGGCGGCGGCGCCGGGCCCCGAAGGCGGGGGTCCCTTCCCGCCCTGGCCGCTGGGGTAGCCCCCGCCCCGCCGTGCAACCCCTCCCGTCCCTCACGGCTCCTCTGCCCCCTGTCTCTCTCCTCCACCGGCCTCTCCTTTGTCCTCCTGGTGCCCTAGAGCTTTCTGTTCCTTCCCAACTCTCACTTTATGTCCCAAACCTCATTCCTGTTGGGATCTCACGCCGTCCTCGTCCTCGCAGCCTCTCCCGCCTATAGAAGGAGACTCCGCAGTCCTTCCCTCTCCCGGGTCGGGGGCAGGACTGGCCAGGAGCAGCAGGCGGGGCCCCTGGTCTAGAGGAGGCTGGAGGAAGGGGACTGGGTCTTGTTCCCAGGAGACACCCCCCAGGACGGAGTGGAGGACGGCTCCGACAGGACACCCCCCCCCAGGAGACACCCCCCAGGGTGGAGTCGGGGACGGCTCCGACAGGACAGACCTGGGTTCTGGCAGTGGGCTCCCTGGTCTGGCTTGTCTCTCTGCGAGCCAGAAGGCATGGGATGGACAGAGATGCCTGCCTGTGGGAAGCGCGTCAGAGACGACAGTTCACCAGCATCTGGAGAGTAATAAAGCCACTGATGAGTTGTGCAGACCCCAGGTGCCCTGCGTTCTGTCCTGGGGGCCGCCCTCCCCATGCTGCCCAGGATGGGAGGGGCATTGTGGGCCCCACCTCAGACCTTCCCAGCTGGCAGGGCCCTGGGAGCCTGGGCCCAGGGGGCTGGTTCCTTTTCCTTGAGCCTAGAGATGAGATGAACCCCGTGAGAGGTGACAGAGATGAGTTCTCGTGGGGGTCTGCACTGTGGGGGAAACGCAGGCACACGCCACCTTATGGAGCCCACTCACTGCCCCAGGAGCAGGTCTCCCTGCTTCCACCGCACACAGGCCAGACTCAGCCCAGCACCCAACTGCTTGGGTTGGAGTCTTGGCCTTAACAGCTCCCAGGCTCCATGATCTCAGGCCACTGAGAAGGGGCCCATTCTGGAAACTAAATGACGGAATGACGGCAAACGCTTGCACTGCCAGGCCAGCAGAAGCAGTGAGCACCGAGGGCACCTTTAGTGGCAGGGCTGTCCTTCCACACTAGAGGTCCATGTGGCCATGTCTATAGCAGAGGAAGCCGGCTTCAAGAGGCCACGTCATCTGCTGCAGGACCTCACAAGGGAGCTGGCAGGAGCACAAGGCAGGAGAGTGGAGGTGTCAGGCCACGGGGCTGGGGGCTGAAGACTGGGTCTGACAAGAGCGTGCCATGTGCCAGCCCCTCTTTCAAGCACATAAAGCCATCAGGTCTTTTAATCGTCATAACCCAAGGAGGCAAGCACTGTGGTTACTCCCATCACGCAGATGAGGGGCCCAAGTTATCGAAAGGGTGCGTGGTTGGGCCGCAGTCACAGATCTGAGCTGGGTGTCTGGCCCCGGCGTCCTGATGTCTGCTCATCACCCAGCAATAATACTTAGTCCAGCTCCTACCGTCGCTCAGGGGCCCCAGACTCTGCCGCCAGCACAACCGTGGCTTGGGCTTGTTAAGCCTCCATCCCTGACCTCAGTCTGGGGACCTCCTATCCCAACACACTGCATCCATCAGTGTGGACGGTCCCTCGAGATGTCCCACCCCCTCCACCTTTGTGTCACTGGGGATCACAGTGCTGGATGAGCCTCGGGCATGGTAGGGGTTGGAGGGGGGAGAAAACACCTCCAACAGCTGGGAAGATGAAGAGCTCTGACAGCTGGAGCTTCGCCTGTTTCCACACAGGTACCATCCCCATCCCCTGTCTGCCTGCCAGGGAGCGCTGGTCCCACCTTGGCTCCCACACCTGGTGATGGGCCGTGCCTTCCTCCAAGGCTCACACAGTGGCCAGGGTCAGGGTGGGAAGGAGAAGCTGGGAGGCTGAAATGGAACAGAAAGACCCTCTGCACGGCGGTAGGAAGCATGTGCCCTGCTGCTGACGGTGCAGGCGGGCGCAAGCAGAACCAGCTGGCAGGACTCCAGATTCTGTAGCGTGTCAGCATCATCCGTGGTGGACTGACGCCCTGGCCCCCACCCCACCCCGATAAACTCCCGTGCTCGGCCACACACAGGAGCAGTTGTGTAGCCCTGTGCCTCGCAAGGCTGTTCGGACGTCCACCCTGGGAGAGGGGGAAGAGGAGGTGCTCGCACACTGTTCAGGAAAAGTTGTCCAAAACCCGGAAACGGTGAGAATTCAGCTCTGCAACCTTATAAAATCATGCTAGAGTGTTAAAAAACAACAACAACACCCCCTCCCCCCCGAGTTTCCTGTAACTCCTTGCAAATGAAACTGTGTCGGGCTAACAGTTGTTTGGAGAGGGGTTGGTTCACCACTCCTGCCAAGTCAGAGGTTAACCTGAACACAGCTAGGTGGGTGTGGGGACCAGGTTTATTCTGTCTGGCAGACGGAGCAGCCAGGTGTGGAGGTTGACCGTCTGGTGCGGCATGAACCAGTTTTAAGCAGCAGCCCTGCTTCGGCATCCCTCCCCACCAACCACAGAGCCCTGGTTCATCCAGTCCTAATCCAACAAGCTCTGCATCCTGCTGGTCCGTCGTAAAGAAGCCCAATAAATCATCAACCCAGCACTGGTATCTATTTGTATGAGATTTTTTTTAAATCAATAATTATGACTTTACTGAATACTACCCGGAGCTGGAGGCAATGAGCTAGAAGTATCCGCAGAAGCATGACCTTCTCTCTTCGAAACATTCCGGGCGGTGACAGCAGCGAGAATGAAAGAAAGAAAGATAATCAGATCTATTGCACCACCCCCACCCCACTCACAAAATGGCACAACAGATTCCATAAACGTAGGAGAAAAACCAAGATACAATGGGTTCCCCGGGTAACCAGTGAGGAGATGGAGGTCCACAGACCCGCAGAGAATCTACCACAATCCCACAGTCGGCCAGTGAGATGCAGAGATGCCTCCTCACGGCCCCTCTCTTGAGTCAGGGCAACGACTGAAGCTTGACTCCCCAAATCCCTTCTTTTTGGGGCATGAAGTGGTGAAAACAGGAGTGGGGAAGTGGGGGGCATTGGGACGACACTGACCTCTGGGTTATTTACGGGCAGGAGAGGGAGAGGGGTCTTAATCCTAATCCAGACCCGCAGCCCCAACAATAACACACCCATGTCCTTTAGAGGGTTAATTGTAATCCCTTGATTTTGGTCCAAGATGAGGAGGAACTGATTGAGGGAGATGCAGGAATATTCAGCACAATGGACAGAGGTGCTTGCTCGAAGCTGAGCCACGGGAAACAAGGATGCCTGTCTCCTGACGCCCCGGAAATCTCTCTTTACCTCCTTTCTCAGGCAGGAAAGAGAAATAAAGCTTTCATGCAAATGGTTTTCAAACTGCACAAGGACGTCCTGTTTGTTGCTTCATTGTGTGTATGTGAGGGGAATTCTCTGATAAGACTGAAAAGACAAGTATGGGTCTACAACTTTCAGTCTGAGCAGATTTTTACAAATGCCAAGTGGCTGGACCACACATCACGTGGGCAGCGGTTTTTAGAACCTGCCTAACTCAAAAGACGTAAAATTCAAAATCATTCACGTGTCTGTTTAGAGAGAACCCCCCTTTCCCATCAAAACATTTAACAGCCCTCCTCAAACCGTCATGGTAACCAGAGTTGTTAACAAGAAGTACACAGCCTGCCAGGGTCATGAAAAGGTCTGGCCCCATTTTTTATTATGATATTTTAGCTCATTTTATTTTACTATTAAACATTTTTTTTCTTTTCACTGTACAGTTTTGCAGACTCTGAAGGAACAGAGTCACTTGTGCCATATCTGACAGGAGCATTCCCGGCAGAGCCAATAGCAGAATGCTCTCTCCTTTCCCACACTTCTCAAGATTCTACCCCCTTTTCCATTCCACTAGTAGTATCTGTGCACCTACAAGGGAGGCTAAAGCTGGAGAGATGCAGCCACTCTCTGCATCTCTTCTCTTGAAGGAGCCATCTCCCTCACAAGCATCTCTGTACCATTTCCCGTGCTCCCTCTGACTCAACATCGAGAGGTTGCCTCGTGTTCTTCTCTCTTTTAAAACTTTTCACAACTTGGGTTTCCCTGGTGGTGCAGTGGTTGAGAGTCCGCCCGCCGATGCAGGGGACACGGGTTCGTGCCCCGGTCCGGGAAGATCCCACCTGCCGCGGAGCAGCTGGGCCCATGAGCCATGGCCGCTGAGCCTGCGCGTCCGGAGCCTGTGCTCCGCAACTGGAGGGGCCACAACAGTGAGAGGCCCGCGTACCGAAACAAAACAAAACAAAGCCTTTTCACAACAACAAAAAAACAAACCACCCAATCAAAAAATGGTCAGAAGACCTAAATAAACATTTCTCCAAAGAAGAAATACAGGCACATAAAAAGGCTCAACATCGCTAATTATTAGAGTAATGCAAAACAAAACTGCAATGAGGGATCACCTCACACGAGTCAGAAAGGCCATCATCAAAAAGTCTACAAATAATAAATGCTGGAAATGGTGTGAAGACAAGGGAACCCTCCTGCACTGTTGGTGGGAATGTATGTAGGTGCAGCTGCTGTGGAAAACAGTATGGAGGTTCTTCAGAGAACTAAAAATAGAATTACCATATGATCCAGAAATCCTACTCCTGGGCATATATCCAGACAAAGCTATAATTCAAAAAGATATCTGCACCCTTATGTTCATAGCAGCACCATTCACTATAGCCAAGCCATGGAAACAACCTAAATGTCCATCAACAGATGAACGGATAAAGAAGATATGTATACATACACATACACACACACAAACACACACACACACACACACACACACACACACACAAAATGGAATATTACTCAGCAATAAAAAAGAATGAAATGATGCCACTTGCAGCAATATGGATGCAACTAGACATTATCAAACTAAGTGAAGTTAGAAAGAGAAAGACAAATACCATATGATATCACATATATGTGGAATCTAAAATATGACACAGATGAATCTATGTATGAAATAGAAACAGAATCATGGACATAGAGAACAGACTGGTGGTTGCCAAGGGGGAGGAGCTGAGGAGGGATGGAGTGGGAGGTTGGGGTGAGCAGATGTAAGCTTTTATATATAGAATGGATAAACAACAAGATCCTACTGTATAGCACAGGGAACTATATTCAAAATCCTGTGATAGGGGAACTTCCCTGGTGGCGCAGTGGATAAGACTCCGCGCCCCAATACAGGGGGCCCAGGTTCGATCCTGCTCAGGGAACTAGATCCCACATGCATGCTGCAACTAAGAGTTCACGTGCCACGACTAAGGAGCCTGCCTGCCGCAACTAAGACCCGGCACAACCAAATAAATAAATAAATATGCCCCACTCCCAAAAAAAATCCTGTGATAAACTATAATGGAAAAGAATATTCAGAAGAATTGACACATATATATATATATAGAATCACTTTGCTGTACAGCAGAAATTAACACATTGTAAATCAACTATAATTAAAAAATTTCCACATCTTGCTGCCCACTGCCTGTTAAAGGCTAAGCCATACTATTCCATTGACTCCCCATCATGGCTGTTTTCATCTTCCGAACTGCAGGAAGCTCTCCCAC